CCGCCTGTGTCTCCACTAATCTCTATACTACTGCTTCATGTTGTGTTAACGTACTTTCGAGGGCCACCACTGAACTAATCTGTGCCGCTGCAGAAGTAAGCGTTGTTGTTCGGACAGCTAATGATGCGTACCATCTGTCGTGTAACACATGCCGCTGGACCACCGCCGATTCCGGGATACCCGACTCCACCTCATCCACTGGCTGGCCAGAATATCAATTTGAGGATGAGGATTTGCTATCGGCATTTTTGGAACGAATGAGAAATTACGCAGCAGCAGAAAAAGCGGATCGCGAGCGACACAAATATATTAGAAGGTAACAAATCTGTATCGTAAATATGCAGGGCTTTTACGTTATATTTTGTGTATTTTTATACATACGCATCATTCGTTTGAATTTCAAAACACAGTTCGCAACAGCACAATACAGGATTAAAATGAACTAAGCTAATTTTTTTTCATTTTTCTTATTTGTTTTTATGCGTTTTTGCTGTGCAGCGCTATAGCGCAAACGCATATTGTCGAGGGGCTGTGTGTGTGTGTTCGGAAAGCGAGTGCATTTTGTTACCCACTTTCATCTCAGCAACCAGGAAAGCTAGGAGGCTGAAACTTTGGATATATGTTCCTACTCCGTTTGCCATCCTCCCCTTTTAAGATCTCCATACGCGCCTAGACCCCGCTCACGGAACCCCCAAAAAATGTGTTGACGGGAAACGATTTCGCGAACTAGGCAACGTAGAAAGCTGAAACTTTGCAGAGATATTCTCTATGCACGTGCGAGATAAAAATTTTAAACTCAGCTCTCCAGCTTTCCAACCACAGCTTCAAGCAGCTCCTTAACCTAAAAATCGTTAGCAACTCGAACCTGAACCGCAATTGTATATGCAAACGAACATGAATTTTTTGAAAAACGACCGTTCGAGCAGTACTTTCAATTTTTAGTGACCTGAAAATTTGCATATTTTCAAAAAAATCGTTCACAGCTCGGACCTTAACCGCAATCGTATATGTAAATGAATGTGGATTTTTTGACAAACGACCGCTCGAGCAATACTTCCACTTTTTAGTGAACCGGAAATTTGCATTTTTTCAAAATATTTGCATTTGTCATTTTTCCACAAAGCGAGCATTTACCGAAAATACGACCGGACTTCATGCAAAAAACCGGTAATCTTGCACCTGGATGTCCGTGCGGCTCTATAATGCACCACCTTCTTCCCAACTGACGCTCTTCCTCCTGTATGCCGTAGAGGGCTAAAGCACGGCCAATATGAGCACAAGTGTTAGGCTACAGCGCTTTTTTTGGTTTCTTTTTTTTTTGATTTAATTAATGGATATCCGTGGATATCTGCACTATTAAGGAATCCACTAACTATCCAGCCGAAAACTGTTC